TTATCTATTGATATCCGCATGTCAATGTGTAGACAATGAGGGAACAGCTACAAGAATCTCTGATAGTATTCCTGAGCATCTTTAGGAGAATCTGTGAATTAAAAGAGTATATTTATTCATTAGTCCTTATATTAGTCACCGATGTGATTGTAGACAGGATATTGAAGTCCACACATCATACACAATAATTGTCGTTCAACTGAATTCTAGCTCGAAGCATATCTTTGAAGTAATCCGCTTCAATGAAGTCAGATGAAATCTAGGTATTCAGCAGCAGGTAGTTATCAAGCTGTCACTAGTGCTGTAAAAAGCTCTTCTTGTTACATAATAACATAAACCCTCCCTTTTTTAATGCTTCCTTTTTTTTACCGCTTATTATAATTTATGTGGGCGGAAATTTTTTCCATAATACCCGTTTAATCTATAGTGTAATTTTTCCCTTTGTAGAAATTTTTTGTCTCTATCTAAATTTTTAGAATATTTATTCATTTATACTATGAATAAGCAGTGCATCATCAAGCTTTCTAGCTTCTTTAATTCAGCTTCTTTTGACAAGGTAACATCATTTCAGTACATCTCTTTTCCCAATCAATCTTTTCTTTGTTAACTCTACCTAGTCGAGTAAATATATCCATTCTTATATTGAGTATTAAAATTAATCATGGCTGAAAATAGACGGTGTGAACACCTGAGGTAAAAGAATACCATACTGTTTTTTCTGCTCCATACAATTTTTCATAACTTTTGACGATATATAGCAAAATTCAACAGCAGAACTATGAAACAGGTAGAGCCAGGAAAGTCAAATACTGACTACTGACAACAGGGCTAGTTATATACTTTATGTATCATGTTATGCGACGAATTCAACTAGACAGCCTTAAGATATATATATTGTATTCATCTTGATGACTAGCAGTGGGATTCAGGACACGTGTTTCGTCCTATTTTGGACGTTCCCACTGGGACTGGAGCCCACTGCTCATCGCTTCAAACGCGAAACCATTCTCCACTAGACCACTATGGTTTATCGTATTTGATCTTATAGAATTGTTGTACAATGACCCATAAAGCTGCTTCAACCAATTACCAATTTAACCAGTCCTAAATACAACAGAGAATCGGTATTAACAATGTGCACCTCAATAGCTGAAAACGATCTTATCGACCAGTATAAGTGAAAATGCCTTATGAATTCACCATAGGAATTAACTACGAGTAAACTAAGAGTAGCGACTGAATTCATCGTACTGGTCTTAGAAATGCGTGGAAGATGTAATTCATTAACCCTTACGAAGGTATACTACTTATATTCGTTTACCTATGTTTTGAGGCCCTAGTCAAATTAAACATCACCCCTGCCTTAAACCAAACAGTTAAAAAAGCCAGTCGAATAACTTGCATACTGAGTAATACATTTCAAAACTGTGGTGGGTAAACCAAATAATGTCGTTCGTTTTCATTGAACAATAGCTAGAATTGAAAAGCTAGTGATGGATAGTGGCAAGCTGTAGAGTTCAGGATGAGCGTGTCGTCCTACACGTGATTCGTCAGCTGGATTGGAAATTGAATCCATACTGAAGCATCAGATTGGAAGCTCATATGTCAATAGGAACCCATCAAATCGGTACACTCAACGACAAGGTAATACAAGGAGCATCATATAAAATATGCCCGTCGCACAACAAGTGACTATCGTGACTCGGTGGTCTAGGGAATAACGCTCTCGTATTTGAAACAATAGGTCCCGAGTTCCAGTCTTAGTGGGAAAAACACTGCTCACTGGGGGTAGGTAAATCCACCTGACAAGCCCGAAATAAGAGAGGACGCGCGTCCTAGATTCCAGCGACAGCCACCATCCATCATCATCGCACAAGTCACTTTCATCTTGATTGAACCCTGAAATTAGGACGTTCTACACAGGATTTAAGCAGTCTTCTGCTGATCTGTTGTGACTTTGGAAAATTTGGATAATAATGTGTCTACACAGTTAATGTCATCGCTTGGAGTGAAGTAGCTTCCTAATATATCTAATAACTTTTGTTGGTCTCATCAATTTTACACGGATTTTGACAAATTTTGTTTTAATAACTATCAGTCTGCATAAATGACTCAAGAAACTGAGTACTCAAATATTCACTCTACTATGTTCTCTTGCATGTAGCATGAAAGTGAGGAACAAAACTTTTATGTGCTACTCGAATTTCTTGAATGTTCCAGTTGTTGTCTGAGATTACAGAAGCTTGTTAGATTAATTTATGTGAAGGATGTTGAGCGATCAAGTTCTATTCATATACTGAATCTCAGTACTAACATGTGATCGACCACAGTACAAATGTTCTACGTTTTGTTACACTGATCTTAGTGACTAGCAGTAGAATCCAGGGTGTGCGTTTCTTTTTATCTGGGACTCTTCAATTAGTTGTACCTGCATCTAAGTGGGTGATGTTGTTCCCACTGCGACTGTAAACTACTATCCATCTCTCTAAACGCCACAGCGTCATCCACTAGGCTACTGGGGCACGACGGTCACCTCTTGTGCAACGGGTATCAGTTTTTATTGCTATATCTTCGTAAGACAACGGTTATATATATTCCGAAAGAATATAATACTCACGCTTAGCTGACATCTAACTTAGTACGCAAGAGCCACTGACTACAACCGTGGGACGAATAGAGAGGAGACCGAAGCTGGATGATGGGAGAGTTTATTACCCCGAGATCATAATCATAATTAATCCCAAAACACGTGAATAGGTACACACATGAAAAAATGACCTTGTCCTCAATTTGAGACACAGACATAGTAAGAGTACGATCAACCAATCAGCGATTTATACTGCAATGGGGGCAGAAAATAGGCTATAGTCATACCGTAAAAAATGGTGTGGGAATGACACGTGAAAATGTTCAGATCAATAACAATCTTTGTACAAAACTGGGGCCTTACAACAGTTATCATTATGGTACTTGTAATTTCCTGTTGCTATATAGGCCGAATCGCTCCACCTCTCCTATTGGCAGATGAGCTCCTATGCAGACGCCTCGATACTGCCGGACATTCGTGATGTTATATTGGTCTTGGTGACTAGCAGTAGAATCCAGGACGCGCGGTTCGTTCTATTTGGGACTCGTCAACTGGATGCATGTGCACCTCAATGTGAGTGATGTTTCTCCTACTGATACTCGAAACCCTTTCTACATTCTGATTAGAAATTATTTTCCTAGACGTAAAGATAACTACTGAATCATAGTAAATGGTACAGAAGGGAAAAATGGGCTCTTAGTTCGATGGCAATGAAAATGTTAGCTACTGCAGTAATGCTCATATTTTTAAAGTATTGCTTGATTGTTATTAAACTTAAGTATCCTCGTTCGCTTCTTGAAAAGGGTGAGGACTTGACGGCACTCATGATCCAGAGAATGAAACTTACCCAGTAACCTTGAATTTCCACTAATTAACAAGTTAATGCATACTTGGGACATGAGTCAAACTGAAGTTTTATCAGAAATCTTCAGCTAGTCAACTTTTTGGAGTAGAAAAAAGCCGTCTGAATTAATTTTGCAAATTTAACAGGTTTCTTATAAGCAGAAAGCAGAAATTTGGAAGAAACCCCCTATTGATTAACTTTTAACATTCGACAGTAGAATAAATTGCACTGCTCAGTGTTACGTCACTTGGCTTAGTAATCACATTACAAACTTCATCATTATGCTTCTTAATAGCACTGAGCATTTAGAACCTTATGGTTATATCAGTCACCATCCAGGGGTTAATTTAGATATATAACACACATATATGACAGTGAATAAGCGTATTAGATTGCAAGGGTTAATCTACAAAAAGCCCTGTCCTGCCTAGTTTTCGTGCCTGTTGGCACTCATCAGAAAGCGGTCATCAGGATCTTCATGTTCCTTAGGTGCCCCAAACCCTCACCGCTGAGTTCTCAAGTCAGAGAATTGACAAGTAAGTAATTCAGGCCATGACTGACCCCCTTGTGTGACTAGATTATGTACTCCAGCTGGACATATGTGTCTGTCTAGTTCTTAGTGCTCAGCACTGATCGGAGTCTATTGATAAAGCTTGGAATGTGGTCACTAAGCGAAGTGATGCGATTCTGTGCTGCATTGTAGTCTCGTGTTAGATGGTGGGAGTCAGTTGGCAGGACACCCCGCTTGATGTAGGTTCTTTATTTGTTGATAATATGTTTGGCTATAGATGAAAGGGGTCGTCTCTCCCACCTGCGCTTATCAAAGACCCACACTCCATCTGTTCTTAAAGCTCTTTAGGTACCAGCTCTCCCACCCTCAACTGCATGAATCGATCACTCCTCCCTATGTATGTGTGGCCACACACACACGCAAACTGGTAAACATAATGAGATGTGACGTGATCATTTAGGTGGGCTGTGCAGTATTGTTTCATTCAACACCAACCAGTAGTGGACAGCTGTTTCATTCTAATGTGGGATTCCTTGTCGGTGCGCAGAATCATCACTTCCATTTTGGTCGAAATCAGCTAAACTAAATAGATTGCAGAGTATTGAATAAAGACAAACAATTTGCCTTACAAACTGCTAGATGACGTATGGAACTAACTTAGGGAAGAATTACTTTCATTTGAAGTCACAAAGTCCATAATGTTCCTAAAATGCAATAACCAGTATAGTTGTTATGGCAATATCACTATGGTTTCCAAACCAAACGCCAAGAACTGATAATAAATAATACAAGAAAGTAAACGTCAGCGAAAAGGCTGTGGGCTTGTATAATAAATACTCATAATTTATGTTGACTTGGTGCCACTTTCGACAGTGTAATAGAACAAGAAGAATTATTTGTATTAATGGCCGAGAGAAAATCTTGATGAGCAATAACAAAGTATATATGGTTAACAGTTAGGTCTCGTAAATGAAGTTGCAAAAGATTGAAAACAAGTCCCTAGTAAACCATTCATATAAATACTGCTACAAAAACCGATTTCATCCCAAATTATAAAATCACGTTGATGAAAAAACATTACTGTGGAGAAAAAAGCTAGTAGTGGTAGTAGTAGTAGTAGTAGTAGTAGTAGTAGTAGTAGTAGTAGTAGTAGTAGTAGTAGTAGTAGTAGTAGTAGTAGTAGTAGTAGTAGTAGTAGTAGTAGTAGTAGTAGTAGTAGTAGTAGTAGTAGTAGTAGTAGTAGTAGTAGTAGTAGTAGTAGTAGTAGTAGTAGTAGTAGTAGTAGTAGTAGTAGTAGTAGTAGTAGTAGTAGTAGTAGTAGTAGTAGTAGTAGTAGTAGTAGTAGTAGTAGTAGTAGTAGTAGTAGTAGTAGTAGTAGTAGTAGTAGTAGTAGTAGTAGTAGTAGTAGTAGTAGTAGTAGTAGTAGTAGTAGTAGTAGTAGTAGTAGTAGTAGTAGTAGTAGTAGTAGTAGTAGTAGTAGTAGTAGTAGTAGTAGTAGTAGTAGTAGTAGTAGTAGTAGTAGTAGTAGTAGTAGTAGTAGTAGTAGTAGTAGTAGTAGTAGTAGTAGTAGTAGTAGTAGTAGTAGTAGTAGTAGTAGTAGTAGTAGTAGTAGTAGTAGTAGTAGTAGTAGTAGTAGTAGTAGTAGTAGTAGTAGTAGTAGTAGTAGTAGTAGTAGTAGTAGTAGTAGTAGTAGTAGTAGTAGTAGTAGTAGTAGTAGTAGTAGTAGTAGTAGTAGTAGTAGTAGTAGTAGTAGTAGTAGTAGTAGTAGTAGTAGTAGTAGTAGTAGTAGTAGTAGTAGTAGTAGTAGTAGTAGTAGTAGTAGTAGTAGTAGTAGTAGTAGTAGTAGTAGTAGTAGTAGTAGTAGTAGTAGTAGTAGTAGTAGTAGTAGTAGTAGTAGTAGTAGTAGTAGTAGTAGTAGTAGTAGTAGTAGTAGTAGTAGTAGTAGTAGTAGTAGTAGTAGTAGTAGTAGTAGTAGTAGTAGTAGTAGTAGTAGTAGTAGTAGTAGTAGTAGTAGTAGTAGTAGTAGTAGTAGTAGTAGTAGTAGTAGTAGTAGTAGTAGTAGTAGTAGTAGTAGTAGTAGTAGTAGTAGTAGTAGTAGTAGTAGTAGTAGTAGTAGTAGTAGTAGTAGTAGTAGTAGTAGTAGTAGTAGTAGTAGTAGTAGTAGTAGTAGTAGTAGTAGTAGTAGTAGTAGTAGTAGTAGTAGTAGTAGTAGTAGTAGTAGTAGTAGTAGTAGTAGTAGTAGTAGTAGTAGTAGTAGTAGTAGTAGTAGTAGTAGTAGTAGTAGTAGTAGTAGTAGTAGTAGTAGTAGTAGTAGTAGTAGTAGTAGTAGTAGTAGTAGTAGTAGTAGTAGTAGTAGTAGTAGTAGTAGTAGTAGTAGTAGTAGTAGTAGTAGTAGTAGTAGTAGTAGTAGTAGTAGTAGTAGTAGTAGTAGTAGTAGTAGTAGTAGTAGTAGTAGTAGTAGTAGTAGTAGTAGTAGTAGTAGTAGTAGTAGTAGTAGTAGTAGTAGTAGTAGTAGTAGTAGTAGTAGTAGTAGTAGTAGTAGTAGTAGTAGTAGTAGTAGTAGTAGTAGTAGTAGTAGTAGTAGTAGTAGTAGTAGTAGTAGTAGTAGTAGTAGTAGTAGTAGTAGTAGTAGTAGTAGTAGTAGTAGTAGTAGTAGTAGTAGTAGTAGTAGTAGTAGTAGTAGTAGTAGTAGTAGTAGTAGTAGTAGTAGTAGTAGTAGTAGTAGTAGTAGTAGTAGTAGTAGTAGTAGTAGTAGTAGTAGTAGTAGTAGTAGTAGTAGTAGTAGTAGTAGTAGTAGTAGTAGTAGTAGTAGTAGTAGTAGTAGTAGTAGTAGTAGTAGTAGTAGTAGTAGTAGTAGTAGTAGTAGTAGTAGTAGTAGTAGTAGTAGTAGTAGTAGTAGTAGTAGTAGTAGTAGTAGTAGTAGTAGTAGTAGTAGTAGTAGTAGTAGTAGTAGTAGTAGTAGTAGTAGTAGTAGTAGTAGTAGTAGTAGTAGTAGTAGTAGTAGTAGTAGTAGTAGTAGTAGTAGTAGTAGTAGTAGTAGTAGTAGTAGTAGTAGTAGTAGTAGTAGTAGTAGTAGTAGTAGTAGTAGTAGTAGTAGTAGTAGTAGTAGTAGTAGTAGTAGTAGTAGTAGTAGTAGTAGTAGTAGTAGTAGTAGTAGTAGTAGTAGTAGTAGTAGTAGTAGTAGTAGTAGTAGTAGTAGTAGTAGTAGTAGTAGTAGTAGTAGTAGTAGTAGTAGTAGTAGTAGTAGTAGTAGTAGTAGTAGTAGTAGTAGTAGTAGTAGTAGTAGTAGTAGTAGTAGTAGTAGTAGTAGTAGTAGTAGTAGTAGTAGTAGTAGTAGTAGTAGTAGTAGTAGTAGTAGTAGTAGTAGTAGTAGTAGTAGTAGTAGTAGTAGTAGTAGTAGTAGTAGTAGTAGTAGTAGTAGTAGTAGTAGTAGTAGTAGTAGTAGTAGTAGTAGTAGTAGTAGTAGTAGTAGTAGTAGTAGTAGTAGTAGTAGTAGTAGTAGTAGTAGTAGTAGTAGTAGTAGTAGTAGTAGTAGTAGTAGTAGTAGTAGTAGTAGTAGTAGTAGTAGTAGTAGTAGTAGTAGTAGTAGTAGTAGTAGTAGTAGTAGTAGTAGTAGTAGTAGTAGTAGTAGTAGTAGTAGTAGTAGTAGTAGTAGTAGTAGTAGTAGTAGTAGTAGTAGTAGTAGTAGTAGTAGTAGTGTAGTAGTAGTAGTAGTAGTAGTAGTAGTAGTAGTAGTAGTAGTAGTAGTAGTAGTAGTAGTAGTAGTAGTAGTAGTAGTAGTAGTAGTAGTAGTAGTAGTAGTAGGAGTATTGGGGATGTGCTTCTCATCCTATTCGAAACTTTTTAGCTGATTGCATCTGCCCGCTGTGCGCGATGTGTTTCCGATTAATACTGGAACTCGGGACCGATTGTTTCGAATACGAGAGCGTTATTCCCTGGACCACCGAGTCACGATAGTCTCTTGTTGTGCGATGGGATATTTTATATGATGCTCCTTGTATTACCTTGTCGCTGAGTGTACCGATTTGATGGGTTTCTATTGACATATGAGTTCCTGAGCGGATGCCTCGATATGGCTTTTGTTTGAATAATATCTTAATGATGGATAGTGGTTAGCAGTGGCTAGCAGCTGAATTAAATAACTATATTGATATAACAGTCCTAGGTTTTTGTTTTCATCTTAGTAACTAAGGTTTTATCAAAGCTTACTTAATAACGAATACATGAAACAGTCAAATAGATAAATTCACGAATACGCTTTAAGAAGAAAACTAATCTATCATATCCTTCACTCAATTTTTTTCTGTTACTTACAAACATGAAAACATGCAAAATTTTGTTGAAATAACCAAATTATGATTAGTGGATGAATGTTCCTCTTTTGAAGTTATTTCCATGTATAATCGTGACATTTTCTCTAGTAGAAATAAACAAAAAGCCCACAAACGCTAGAATACACATACATACAAGTAGAAAAAGCAACAAAAACCACCAGGCAAACCTCAAGAAAAAATTAATAGAACCTGTTTCAATGTGTAGAAGTGAAAATAAAAATGAAAATAGGAAGAGTAAGTGATATACATGATGCTTGTTCTTCGAGTTATAATACCATGGTAAAATATCCTGACAACATGTCTATCACATTCAAGCGTGCTAGTGGCTATTTTAGGGAGCTCCATTTGCACTATCTAGGGTAGTGAAGGAGTAGATTATCATAATCCGCATATTCTAACCTTCTGGTGAACTGATCTTCTTGCGAAGCAGAAAGCATCTTTGCAACTCAAGATCTCAAATGAATGAATATGAAAAATCACTGCAATGAAATTCTGTTCACATTCCCCAAAAAACAGTCGATGTTATTCCAATCGTCTACACTGTTTTTGACTTCACTCCTTATTTGTCTTTAACTCAAAGTGCCAAGATATGCATAACTTGCAGTAAACTGAAAACTTCACCATCTTGTCAGGGATATGCAGACTATCTCCCACCCTTCCCCCATCTTAGAATGGGCATCTAGAAGTAGGTTTGGCCCAAAAGCCTCTAATAGCCATGATTTGTAGCCGTAGTATCTCTTAATTGGATGATTAATGAACCAGTAACACCTGAGAAAATGTCAGAGGTCTCCCGACAAACTATATTTTACTTGTCTGGAGGCTGTTTCAATAGAGATGACTACCAAAGATAAAAGCTGGAATCTAGAATAGAACCAGCTACCACACCACTTTCAGAGAACTGACCAGAATTCTAACAGTGAATTTAGCTAACGCCCATGCATCTGAAGGATAGCTTCATCAATCATGTACATGTGGGTATTGTCGAGAGTATCCACCATTAAGTCAAAAGCCTATGAGAACTATTAAGGAACGCAAACTCTAAGGAGGTTTATTTTTGTTTTGTAACTTCTCTCAACAAACGATCCCTTACCATGATTACTCTTGTTGCGACATCGGACAGCTGACAGGTAATATGCTGAACTCAGTATTTACCTTAGACGACTTCTAATCGAGAGGTGAAATGGCTACGGCATGAAACACTCTTAGAACTTCCGTCCGCCAGCTTCTCAGCGATAGAGTCATAGTTACTATTTATTAGAAATTATTTAGAGGTGGAGTTTGTTTGTCAGTGCAGGCAATTCACTTTTTACCAGTCGATCACGAGTTAGGACTCCAGCTTCATTTACTGAGTTCTGGCCAACCGTTATCATCACCCCTTACACTAAGCCACACTAATTGCTAAATTTATAAACATGCATGCACTTACTGAGGTACAAAAACTTACCAATAGAAAACACTTAGTATTCTAAACTGTAGTTAAGAGTTTACACTTTCCAGCTACTAACTTGAAGAGAAACACTACAGGTTTCAGTGTAATATACTTTGTTGAGATTTCTTAGGTAAAAATAGTGGACAACCAGTGACTAATATCCCAAGTGTTCTCAATAAAATTTTGAGGCGAATGAGGATTTATTTATTGATTTTAGGTTAGTATTCATCACGAATTGACATTATTCGGAGAGATATTTGGAAACTGGAAGCAGTGATCATCTGTTTCGCCCCAGTATTGGACTCCTCAGCAGTATGCACCCATGACCCTCTCTGCTAGAGATCAAACTCGGGACCTACAGGTTCCACGGCTAGAACGTTACCCTTGAGCCCACTCTGTCAGGATTCAGTAACCCATATTCCCTACTCCTGTCAGTTCACGAGTTTACCTAGTCCTCATTGGTGACCAGATTCCAGAAGTGGTTCCTAAAGTTCCAATGAGAAGTAGTGACCACTGGAGTCGACCAAGTTGAGTGACAGATGTGATAATAGTAATAATAATTCACTTTATTCCAAACAATTTGTGGTACAATTTGGAATTCTCAGCGTAATATATATTGCAATAACAACAAAATATAAGTATATACATACTACTTTGCAGCCTTTTGAATTGTTTTATTATAAAAATTTAAGTTATGTGAAGAATATTAAAAACGAGAAAATTTTGCATTGTAAGTTAAATTATTGAAATGAGATTTTTAACTGTCACAAAGTTGATGTGTGATTTCTGTTCTAACACTTTTTTCCTCACAAAATATACGTGCAAGGTAAGGTACAGTCGAATTCTTATACTTAGCTGTACGAGCATACAGTCTTATGTAGTTTCTCCTTGTCCTCCCTGAGGAGATACATGGAGAGAGCTGTAAATGAAGTGGATGCTCACTGTCAGTTAAAATTTCTGTAGCTAGTAGCTTGCAGGAATTTATATGTCGATCAACTACAGTGTTAATCAGTTGAGCCAGAGACACACCACTCACCCTGCTGACGGTCTTCAAAGCCCTACGCAACATAACATAGTCCTTTTTAAGAAGACCAGGAAAGATTAATGGGGAACAATATAGAAGAATAGGTAAAATGCAGGAATTAATAAATTGTAAAAGAAGCAGTTGAGTTATACCAGAAAGCCTCAATTTCTTTACGTAATAAGTTAAACGAAAGATTTTTTTACAAGTCAATAAAATATGGGACGACCAACAAAGGTCAGAAGTAAAACGCAACCCAAGATAGTTCACACTCGATTTACTTTCTGCAGAAATACCATTGATGCAGCAGGCGTCATGAGATTTAAGCAGCTCACATAAGTCTTGTTTACGCCTGAGGCTAAAATTAACGGTCTGACATTTAGAGGGGTTTAGTTTGAGACCATTTGAGAGAGACCATTTACCAACTTCAGACAAGAATTCATTTAATTTCGAGCAATCCAAAGAAGAGTTTACTGGAATAGAAATCGTCAGGTCGTCAGCATACTTGATAAAATTAGTTTCAACAGAATAAGGCAAATCGTGCAAAAAAAGGAAAACAGAAAAGGAGAAAGTACAGCACCTTGAGGCACACCAGCTTCAGTAAGCAATGAAGTGGAGCGCATCCCTTTATGAATAGTGTACTGTTTCCTTTCAGAAAAATAAGAATGCAGCCATTTTGTAACCCATGGATCAGTGTGAGCTATGGCAAGCTTATTTAACAAAAGTGGTCTAGGAACAGAGTCAAAGGCTGATGAGTAATCCAAAAAGGCACAACGGACATACTTAACACCTTTGTCGAGACTAGAAACAATATTATGATGCAAGACAGTAGCTGCATCTAAAGTACTCCTCCGGTGTTTGTAAGCAAACTGTTTTGGATCTCTGAAGGCCATCAATGAAGGCTCAATCACAAGCAGAAGTAATTTCTCCATTGTCTTCAGAAAAGGGGAAGTTATAGCGATGGGTCGAAAAGTAACATCTGATCCAGAAGATGGCTTAGGCACAGGTACAATTTTTATCTGCTTCCAAGCAGTGGGTATTATGTTTTTAGAGAACGATACATTGAAGATATCTGTAAGTGGATGACACAAAATATCTGCACATTTTCTAAATATGATACTAGAAACACCATCAGGACCTAAGCTTTGGGAGGGATTCAAAGACTTTAGACATTTAAATACATCATTTGTATTGAAACCTGGAAAGCAGCTATCCACTTGATTTTGCACATTAGGAAGGGTGAAATTAGCTTGCCGACGTATAAATGACTTGTTTAACGCACAGACATCCGAACGAGTTTGTGTTGTCATCTGTTTTTTACCAGTAAGCTCTTTAAATAATTTCCATATATTGGAAGAGTTCTTACACGATAAGAACTTCTCGTTGTATATAGTATTCAGACGTTGTATTTCAGACTTAATTAGGCAGTTAAGCCTTTTAACGCCAGGGTGATCTCTCGCCTTATACAACCTTTCCTTTTCTCTCCGAAGCCTCTTGAGATGAGGAGAGGAAAGTCTGTCAAATCTCATGTAAATTGTTTCAGTAGGGCAGCAGATATCGAGACAGAATCTGAGATAGCTTGTGATATTGGTAATAGTGTTGTCTAAAACTTCATCAGCAAATATATCCCAGTCCGTTTCTATAAGCATGCTTCTCAAACGTAATATATTTTCTTGTGAATAGCATCTGTATTGAACTTTCCTTGAAAGGTATGCAAAAGCTTTCTTGTATAATTTTCCGTACACTTTAGGCAAAACACGAACGATACAGTGGTCGGAATTTAGCAGTGGAGCCCGTTTACGGGCTTCATATATGCCAGGTTCATTTGTAAATGCAAAGTCTAAGGTGTTGTCAAGACGAGTGGAAAAGTTAACCATATTTTTATGACCCAATGATAATAGAAAACTGTAGTCACATGAGTTAAAATCACCACAGACAACAGACAAGGAGTTTCCCAGAACCGGAGCAGCAAATTCAGTGAATTTATCAGCAAAAGTTGACAAATCTGAGAAACTGCAGTCAGGTGTGACATACATGTTTGTGATATATATGTATTTGTATTTGCTCAAATGTTTAGTATGACATTTGATGGTAATGCACTCAATTTTTTCGTTAGAGAAGCAGAAGCATACATAGTTGGAGGACGACCAGTTAGTACTAATAAATGTTGCTACACCACCACCACATTTCTTCTTCGAAAAGCTTCGATCTTGTCGAAATAATTTGAAACCATCTAAGCAGACTAAGTCATCATCATACAGATTATGAAGCCATGTTTCCTGCAGCATTATTACACCCGTGTTTCGATAAACATTTGTGGACAAGAGTGACTGAAGGTAATCAACTTTATTCGGCAACGACCTGCAGTTTGTGCTAAGTATTTCCGGAATAGAAGTATGAAATGTGGGCGACTGCATTCCCATCCACAGGCTCAATGGCAAAATGCTGGTCAAGGAATCTGAAGGTCCTTGGTCCGATCCTCAGAGGGTGGGGTGATGGGTCCACACTGCTGAGGAGTCCCATGCTAGGGTGAAACAGCTGTCGAGTGTCCCCGGGTTTCCAATTTTTTTCCAACTGATGTCAGTTCATGATGAATACAGTTCAAAGCTTTCA